AAAAAATGTTGGCCTTCCATGGTGCGAACTATGTTTGATGTTACACTAAACCCTTTAACAGTGCATGTTTTTGCCTACTTATCCTTGTCTAGTTCACACATTTCATAATAAGTCTGTTCCAGTATTCTTTGGGGTAAAACCTGTGGAACTGTCAAACTGCAATTTTACACAGGAGAACAGATACAAAAGTGTACGGGAACGGAAAAACACACACATGAACAAAATGTCAAACGCGTTATTGGTTATCCAGAAAGCTCCCTCAGTGTTTTGGGAGTGCTCCGAAAATAGACGGAAAAGGAGGATTCACGGTTTTTCAAAATGCTCCTAATTTAATTTGTATAATTCAATTTTTTTTTATACTTTTCTTATTATTAAATAATTATAGAAAGCGGTCCAAAGTTATACGGTTACATATTTACATAAATATAAAATATATATTCCGACGAATTGATAACCTTCTACTTTTTTTGAAGTCGGTTAAAAACACTTTTACTTCCTTTTCACTCCATATTCGGAGCGCTCCTGTTTTGTAAGCAAGAAGAAATGCAACCCTGCCTACCGTTTGAAACTTTTCATAAATTTTCCAGAAGAAAAACTTTGTGCAATATCCTGTAACTTCTGACTGGGAAGAGTTGCTCTCTTACTCTGTCAAAAGTGTTCCTAGTGAGAGAATTATTTGCGTACGGGAACGACTTCCTGTAATATCTTCCTAGTACCTGGAGTACTGAAACAGACTAAATTTTTTTTCTGATTTTCAGAGCTACCATCATTCGGGAAAAGCTTCACTACTTCAATGTTATGACTGCCAACAGTGGCGTTTGTCCCAATATGCGAATACTTTGTATGTCTTGTCAGGACGTACTTTGTCTTGTCCTCGTTCACCGTTCAACGATATCAATATCTTCCGCATACGCCAGCAGCATCGTGCTTTTGCTGTATATGGTGCCGCTGCGCTTGACTGGGTTCACACAGATAAACTTTTGTTGCTCATTTTCGGCAACTGCTCTTTCTGTATTGCCCTTCGCGTTCACACAGAGCAATTCTTTTGTACACATTTATTGTTGTCAGCTGTGAACGGCCAACTAGAATTACTCAGACGAACGAGAGCACAAAGCGTGTTGCCCGAACACGAGCAACTCGGTGTCCTTCCCCCTTTCTCGTCACTCCCTCTCCCACAAGTAACGAGTTGCCGCGACAAAAGTTTATCTGTCTGAACCTAGACATTCAAATTGGCATCTCTTATGACGATTTTCAGCATCAGATTGAAAAAAAAAAAACGAAGAGAGTTAATCGCATTATCTAAAACCTCGTTTGGTCTCAAACTGAGCGGAGAGGTCCTTCTCGATTTGGATGGAGCTGAAACTTGTGCACAGTGTCACTCTACATAGCCTTATTAGTTTTTCGGGGATCCCAAATTTAGACGTAGCGGCGTATTACAGGCAACTTCTCATCCTGTTATCAAAAGTAACTTTCAAATTAACAAAAATATGGTGTGTGTCGATTTGCATATCGAGTGTCTTTTCCAAAATTTGACGTGCTGTGAAATTCAGGTCAATTGAAGGCCTTCTGTCTCTCACACAATATCTTCGACAGCACCTTATATGCATCTCCCTTCTCTTCAGCAGCCACATGGCACTCTTCGACATACCAGCTGTTCCTGCGTGGGCGGTAGTATCCAACCACCTCTTCCGCAGTGGCAAGAAGAGATTGGGAGACAGATTCTCACTGCTTATGTACATATATCCGGTCGATGAGGTGTTTCTCGTTTCTCGGCTGTATGTTGTGACTGCAGCTTCTCGACGTCGAACTTTCACCGCGTTGTCTGACGCACGTTTTTCATTATACAGATGCGCATGCGGAAGGTAGTGGTCCGAGTCGAAGTTGGCTCCTTGGATGGAACATACATCAAGAACGCTCAAAGCGTATCTTTTGTCTATCACAACATGATCAATTTGGTTCTTCGTTCACTAGGTAGCGTCTAAATGCCAGTTCTGACCATTTTTTACTCCACTGGTCCCAACTGGAGTCTTCACCACTCATATTCCTTCAAGGATGGATGGAAATCAGATTAGATTATATTAGAGCTACCTTCCGCAAGAATCTCCACTAATCCTTGATTAGGCCTTCCAAATCACTTCAACGTTTTCCAAGCTCAGGTGCCGCCATAAACGAAGTAGTGGATTCGATGCTTTTAAATGAAATTCCAGGCAATAAAGAGAGCATAATATTATTCTTCAATACTCAGGCACCAATTATCAGTGAGTGCATGGATTTTTCTCGACCGCATTCGAATGCTTTGCTATCAAGCTCACACATATGTGGAAGGCCATAGCGATATAACAAGAAACTGCAGGTCCATTTACTAGCCAAGAGTTATCGCCGGGTAAAAGAGAATCGATTGGCCACTTTTAGTCTACTGCATGAAATAAGAGCATATATTCAGCTTAGCCAATGCTGGGCGAAAATCTTGGAATGCAAGTTGGCCCCGTCTTTCTGGACGGTCTTAAAGCTAGACAAGCGTCACCTCTCGATACTGGTAAGAGCTTTAGTTTGCCATTACCAGCTTGTTATAATTAAAGGATATACATTTTTTTTAATACCTCTGGCTTCGATTCGAACCCATGACCTCTGGACTAGCTTAATCCGCAAGACTGCCATCTGTCAGGGTACAATTTTGATTATATAAGCTCTGCTGTTAATCCGAATTAACGTTGCCGTCTGTCTATGCTATAAGTGTGTGATCAAAGAAGCTGATCATGAAAAATTTGAGGAAAGAATAGTAGGACCAGCAGTGGAGTCACATTTGGATATTATGTGTGACTGTTATGATTACGGTACTGATGATCCAAGCCTTGCACCATCACCCTCGAAAAGAGCTAGAGTTAGACATACATAATTATCTATATGTGAACAAAGTAAAAAAAATTTCTGAGAATACCCATAGTGAATTTTTCTGGCGAATACTTTTCTAGGAAATTTAATCCTGTAGCAACCTCCCAAATGCCATTTTTCATACTTTCCAAAAGAGGGGTAAAACGACCCTTTCGTTAGAGCGCTAACGAGGTAAAATGTTTTACGAAATTATTCCTCGTGATACTTAACTATATGCCCACAAATTACATAAAACATGAAACAAAGAATTTGCCCTCAGAATGCAAAAACATTTGGAGGTTTTACTTTATGGGCTTTCAGTCTTCATCCTGAGTTGGAATCAATCTAACCCAAGAATGGCGGCTGTACTAGGTTGTAGGCATAAATCCTAACCTATCTTACCTTCTATAAGGCGATATTTCCTGCGTAATACAGCGTAGTTTAAAACGCTCTGAGATATCTATTTTTTATTATATAACTTAGTTATCATATCTACGCAAATAGAAGATGTACAATCAATAATAAATATTCTCTATTTATTTGCAGATCATCAATTTGAATTATATGAACGATCACTGCCTTAAACTCCAAGTAAGAATTCGCATAACGATTTTCTGCATTCAAGTTTACTTTCATTTCAAAACCATCACCTCAAATACAAACAAAAACTTAAGCAAAAAGGAGACAACCAGCAAGGCACTGGCCTCACTTTCCAGCCAGCTTTCCAGCGCAGCAGGACTTCTCGCCCACCACCTAGCGGCAGTTTAGTGCAATGGTATTGCCATTTGGCTTGGCCTCTGATGGTCAAAACGTAGCTGGCAATCAAAACATGATAACCCCCACTGCACCGCCCGCTTTTCTTATGCACGGCCACACAAATGTATCCACTGTTGTGCCTGTCATACCAAGCCCCTACATCGATTTCATAGTCGTAAATGGCGATGATCGTTGCATGATACGCTGCGAGCGGAAAGCCGTGCTGGAGAATAGTGTCGAGTTAGCGAAACTAATACGAGCAGGTCCGAATAGTGGCCGCAAGGGCGATAATCACTTCCAGATTTCCAATGTGGACAAGAATGACTTTGAATTGGTCATACGATTTTTAGAGACTAAGTTCGTGCGCCATCGCGATCATTTGCACATACTGAAGATACTCGAATTGGCCGATCGCTTCAATTGTCCCGATTTGGTGAGTTGACGTCAACGAAAAAGTTGATGCGCTAATTTTAAAATATCTAATTTTTACTCCGTACAGGTCATCCATTGCATACGTGAATTGGACCTACAATTAACCAGCGCTGTTGTGATCGATATCTTACGTTCGCTGTGGTTCTACCAAAGCATTTCGGCGCCAAATCAACACCAATTGTGTGCAGTGATTACCACACAGGAGATTGGCGCTAATAAGAAAACGAAACGTAAGAACACAAACCCGCCAGCGAGTACCAACACCACTGCGGCTGCCGCTGGTGCTGGCGCTGGTGCCGGCGACAATGCGAATGCGAACACAGAATCGAGTACGCATCCAAGTCCATTTACAGCCGAGGAGTTTGGCATGGCTTTGCTCAATAATGCGCTGCAATTGATTGATATGCACGCTCAACTGGTGCTGACCAAGCAGCAAATCAACGAATTACGCTTTGAAGAGCTGGAAATGATTGCGAAGCGTGAGGCTTTGCAACTCAGCTCAGAGCTAGTGCTTTTCAATTGTCTAGCCGACTGGAGTGTGGCGGAATGTCAGCGTAAGAAGCTCGACGGGACGGCAGAAAATAGGCGTCGTGTGCTGGGGCCGCTGTGCTATGCGCCACGTTACTTGCTGATGAGTGCCAATGAATTTCGCAGAGCTTGCGATCGCGTGGAACTATTGGATCCAGTGGAAATATCACTTGTCAGCGATGCAATCGAAGGTGAGCGAAATGGAAAATCGTGGTACAAAGAAGTGGTAAAATTGTAAATTAAGCATTTGTGCTTAATTTGGAAATATTTTCTCGGCTTTTTAAATTGGAAAAATTTTTGCCTTTACTGACCATAGGTCCTAAATGGATTTGTCACTGGATATTTTGAGAATACCAATTTTATTCTGTACTTCGATAGCTTATTGTCAAAGCTCGCGACCATTAACTAGAAAATTCAGATTATAATAGGTTAAATCCTAGTATTCATAGAAGGGACCCTCTTAGAGTGTTAAGATGCAACAGCAGTACATTTATTGTACCCTTCCTCTTCTGAGAAATAATGTAGAGCAAACAACGGACCAGTTTTCTTCCGACTCAAGCATATGTTATTAACCGTAAATGGCCACCCCATCTTCATGCTCGAGTCATCCATTCGATTGCAAAACTGCGGACAGATAAACAAACAGTGTTAACCGTCTTTGGTTGCAGACTTTCGGAGCCCCACTGTCCGCGGTTGCAATGGTCTATGTTCGAATCCGCTAATACGGTTTGACTGCCCGAGGTTCAGAATCCCACTGATTTGATGGTTGGAACGGCCGAGGTTCCAATCCACCTTTACGCTTCGAATGAACGGGGAAGCGTCACTCTTCCGGCGGTTGTAACGGCCGAGGTTCCAATCCGCTCCTACTCCTTTCTATGCATATATGCGGGACTGTTCCACCCGATGCGATTGAGTTAGGTGGAAGTCCACTTCTCCTGGAAATAAGTTTATATGTCCAACGTTCACTAGTGGAACGGGTCCACGGATAGTTCCACTGCTGAAAGCAGTTTTGCTTCCCTCTTTATCTAGTGCGACTGTGGATAAATTCATGTGATTCGGTCTACAAACAAAAGTATGGTCAACGCTAAATAACCACATAGAATCATTTCGCATTCAATTTCCGTGTTCAAGCCAATCTGGTATATTTTGTTGTTATGTATTTTGGGAGCAACTTAAGTTTGGCTCTATTTAAAATAAGGCCCCTTACTGCTCCCGAGTTCTTACTGCGGTCTGAGTTTAACTATTCGGTAATCGCAAGTCTTGAAGAAAACCAACTGAGCCCGTAAATTGGTTCCGGGTCTATAATGGCAGAAGATTAGCGTAACCTTCCCAGTTCGTCGGTGACCTCGTCTCCTTCGATCATGCAGTGACCTGGTACTCAGCCCAGTGTCACCGTATTTCTCGCTGTCAAGCGTTGAATAGTGTCAACACATTCCATGACGAGCCTGGCGGTGATATTGGAATGGAAAGGGCTCTGATGGCTGATTGTCTTTTTGAAAAGATAAAGTTAAACGCGCCTTTCAAGGTTTAATCTGGCTCGTTGTAACAGAAAGTCTCAAAGGGTAACCGAATCAAGGTTCTACTTATATTGTATTTTCATGTCAACGGTGCAACAAAAGCTTTTCCCAGGTTTATACTGAGGCTTTCGCTGGCACACCAGCATGTTAGAATATGCAGACCTCAACTAATGACGTCTTCGACGGTATTGCCGAACTTTCCCGTAACAATACTTACCAGGTCTTACGCGTAGTCAACGACATCGTTTTCACACGCCTGCAGTGTTGTTAAAAGGTCATCCATCCCGAGAGACCAACGTAAGGAAGAAATAACTCTGTGCAATATCGCGCCCACGAAGCAAGTCCATAGTTATGAGACTATTTTATGACAAAGTAAAGGTACCCTATCATTTCCTTCGACTCCCATATGCCATGGTACCCATAACAGCTGGATAACGTTTTTCTCAGAAAAAGCATTGAGTTTCTCTTTGCACTCCAGGATCAATGAGGATTTGACTTCGAAGGATGAGAGAGCCGTAAGTGTCGCCTCGCTCCAATACCCACAGGTGTCTGGTGGCGTCCGTGGATCTTCCCACCCTGTACGCGTGCTGATCGGGATACAAAGACGCCTCTTTCAGAGTGTTACAGCCAATTTCACGAAAGCAATTTAAAAGTTAAAAGAAACATTTTAGATAAAAAATTTTAGTCATTTCAAATCTAGATATATTTTGTTGGTTTGAAAACTGGATATGAATTTTTTGGTAGTTTCAAAACTGGAGATCATTTTTGGATTATTTGAAAAAAAAAAATATGCATACATACATATGTATGTATTTATATGCGCATAGATACATAAAATGTATTTATTATTATTTCCTTTCAGGTAAAAAATTGAAGAATCTTACGCCAGAGCAAAGTCAATTATTGGAAAAATTTCGAACGCCACGACCCGAGTTCCCCAAAATGCCAATTCATCTAAGTGATCGTACCAATCCAAAGAATTATCCAAAGAAAATGCGACGTGCCGAAAAGGGAGCATCTGGCGAGGAAGGCTGCTGGAGTAATTTCGGCATGAATTGCTTGGCTGTATTCGCGTGTATTTTCGATTAAGCGAATAACGAAGTAGAAGTAAAGTAGGAATTTATGTAGAAGGTTAACATTACAACAAGCGGTTTACACCCACATATGCACGCATGCATAAGTACGTAAATACATATTTGAGTGCACAGGCATTCAGCATTTTTCCGAACAAACTTCGGCAGTCCGAGGTGCGTCAACTACACAGGGTTGTATGTACTTACATATGTATGTGTACAGTAGGTAACTGGAACTTAACGGTAAGGCGAAGCTTGAAGGCCTGACTGTGGCAACTTAACGTAACTTAAAGGCTGTCATTTAAAAATTCTCTTAAATGGCTGTTGCTTATAGTTCTACGTTACGTTAAGTTAAGTTATGTTGCCATAATCAGGCTTTAACGGTTATAATGATACCAAGTTTTGAGACTTGGAATGGGTGCAAGGCAGAAAATGACGGAGTTGTAGAATTAGAAGAAGAAAAGGAACAGTTATGTGAAAGCAATGGAGACTATTCAAAACCCATAAAAACGAGTAATTTAAGTTTTTATACCGACATACCGATACCACGTGAAGTGAATTTTCTAGTGAGTTACAAAAAGTACAGTACGGTATGTGTATATGTACTCCACCTTTACGAGTAATTAAATAGAACAAAATATTATTTAAAATATGTATGTTATTGTGTCATTCAGTAGAGCTATCACATCGTATTTGGAAATGTCGCTGTACCGTCTGAAATTGTTTACATACCTACATACATGCATACATATTTATTTATATACATATATATAAATATGCATATTTTTTATGTCACCCTATTTTATGTATGTAATTTTATAATTTGTTAAGTAAATTTGTTGCTAGTCAATACATACATACATACATACCTATGTACGTATAATCGTAAATAATTGTTTATAGAAAATTTGTTTCATAAATAGAATATTGATTAGCATAATTGAAAAGGAATCTAAGTACAATATATGTGCACGCATTGTCTACATAAATGCATACATATACATACATACATCCATACACACAAAATATAGCTAAAAATATTCACCTAACATACAATTTTTAAATTAATAAATTAGATAAATTAAATTAAACGAATGTTTTAAGTTATAGCGAGCAAAAAAGCAAATGTGGAAGATAAGCTGCACACGCTTAATCATATTTACACACATACACACGCACACATAAATACATACATGCAAAATATATTAAATGTTATAGCGAAATTTACGCAATTCACTTTTTAAATAATTTTACTAAGAGCGAATATGTATTTATGACAGAGTGGATAGGCAATTTAAGCTTGCGAATCGATTGTTAATTTTAAAAAATTTTAAAGTTTCAACAAACAGAAAAAAAA